CCTGATAATCAGATTACCCGCTAACTAGTTTTGACGGCCATCCAGGAAACGAGTCGTGTACAGTTTCGAAAGTCATAACTGCCACAGTTCGCTGCCGTGGAAAGTTCCTCCCCGGACTCACTTCTTAGTCTTGCCTAAAAATAAGACCTTATCGCAAAAGCAAACGTTCTCTCGGAAAGAAAGATTGTGATCAACGTCCCGTAGACAGCTGTCTACTCAGAAATGGTGTTTACATGGCTTTTTGCAGATGGAAGCCTAATTCTCTCATCCATTTTGTAATTTGTTCTGAGAGGATTATTGACAAACTCATTACTTGATTGACCTCAGCGGGCACATAATGACACTTTTAGTACTGGACAAGTAAATTCATCTGTACCCCTTTTGTGCGCCCTGTTTTTCGCTAGGTACACCTCCATCAATAATACTTCACGTCAGAGTTGTTAGACTAATATTGATAATACTCACTAATAACTAACGCGGCACCCTTTCCGCTGGTAATTCCCCTATCCTCTCAATGCCTTCAGCCGATCAAAATAACCTTCGCAGACGTATTGCACGTTGTGGTAGAGAAGAGTTAAGACATGTCACGCGCACTTCTCATGTATTTTTGCAGGCCGTGTAATTCTCAGTGCGGCAGAACAAAGCGCTGCGAACCGAACTCATTACAGCACTGTACGGCTCAGAATACCCTCATTTCGCCAATCCGAAGCCATAAAACTAAATCGCCTGGTTTATTAAAACGAGTGCAATCTTTCATACTGGCTTCAACTGACTCTTTTAGACGTAAAATCTTATTTTAGAGTCACAGGTAGAGCTTCCTTAAAGATTATTCTACTTATATTAACGTGTGTTAACAGTAAAACAAGCGTTTTAAGCCTGTGTCGGACTGCGCTACTCAGGAGCTCAGTAATCTTATTAGGTTTTTGCTCATAACCTCCAGATTTGCTTTTGGTAGAATAACTTCAATAAAGACTTCCCTTCAGAGAAAACGCTTTTAATTCTTCAAATGGGTTAAATAAGCAAACTAATAACAACTAATGTATTTTTAACTATTCGCTCAACTTTTGGTCAAGCCATCTTATTATTTTCGCTGCTCGCTGCTGTCTGTTTAATTGTGGGCATCTCTCCTCGCAGGTCTACGTTAAATTTGTTTCCTGATATAAAGATATTTTTTGTGTGTCGCGACTGCTATGTGGTTTAAAGTTATTGTGGATGTCAAACAATGATGATGCTGCCTTGACTGACTTAATGGCCGTTTGCCAGCTATAAGCTGAACAGTTGTAAAGACGGCCATTTCCATGTCGATTTGACTTTAAATCTTAGTGTTTCGACATTCTATATTGTGATGCACTATAGCATGTACTGCATAGTTCATAAGACTCCATTGGGGAAAATTGGCGGCCTTGGTGGGCTTAAAACCTGCAACCTTCCATGCTTACAGACAATACGTTACTTGCGTTTGCAATTGTAGGATTATTTTAACTTTGTCTTATGCTGCAGCCTAGGCAAACCTTTGAAATTTCAATACTTTGATTCAAAAGAGCTCGTTACTTACTTTTACGTGGACTATCTGGTAATTTTAAATTATTTAAACGAACACGAAGGCACGATCACTGCAACGGTAGATTTATTGGTCTATCAAATTCCCTGCCACAAATGTCCTTGCCATTACACAGGCCAAACAGGGAGACACCTCAACTCACGAATACTCGAGCACAAACGGGCCGTTCAGCGAGGCGACCCACTATCTCAAGTCGCCACTCAGACGCTAGAAGAAGGCCATGAGTTCGGCTCCGCCAACACGCGGATATTTGCGCGGGCCGACAACAAGACAGGGCGATAAATGTTGGAGGCGTGGATGTCGGACACCAATTACATCAATTGACACATTGACTTGCCTTCATGTTATCATGCGCTACGCCCGCGCAGCCAGGTAGCGCATCTCACATCGCCGCGAAGGGCAAACGCTGTCACCACGAGGGGGAACTGTTGGGGGCCAGGCAGCAGGAGTCCGACCTAGCCATGGACGTAACCCCCCTCCCCACCCACCCCGACGGCACAACGTTAAGTTTACACGTTGCTGCACTCTAACAGTTTCTGATGATAAACTCCTGTTCGAGTTCATTAGTTAAGACCAATAAAGCTACCGTTCCAGTGATCTTCTTCGTTTAAGAATGAACCTAGGATGCGCATATTCTCTTCCATTCATTTTAAATTATTTACTTTGTTATGGTTTGTGAAGCGTTGGGCTAATTGGGTCTCTGTGATGCGCATAAATGATTGGATGGTTCAAAATTCCCGAGGGGAAGAGGGGTAACCTGACCTGTTCGCAATGACAGTAGCATCGAAAGTAATATGAGTGCACTGTTTACCGATGATTACGATTAAAAGATAAAACCCGGACTTTTCGTTTAGATTGTTGACCCCCGGTTTAGAATCGTCCTTTCTGGCATAATTATCGTCCAAAGTAATGTCTAACCTGGAGGCCTATCCGGTCTAGGGTTGGACCATGATTGCTTACTGCTCAAAAAACCACAAACAAATGCTCAATTTAAAGAGAAGTTTACTCTGCCGGTGGGACACGAATGTTTATTGATCTGAGGCTTCGAATTCGCACATGAACCCACCATTAGAGACAACGACAAATAAGGGTGATGGACGTACACGGTTTGCAGTATTTATAGGATGTACTTGCTATTCCACTTTATACTTGTCAAAATTAACGGCTTCTGCGTGCATCGCAGATGGTTACACTTGTTGTAATAGTTTATAGGCTGTCCGCATCCGGATGAGATATTGCCACAATTCATTACCGCTGCTGGTTATCGACGTAATCAAAGAAAATTGAGAAAATTGTCAATGCGGTTTTCTAGCAGTGCGTGAACTTTGGGGACTGATACTGAACGACTGGGATTGAGATAAATTAAAAGTGCAAATATAATATTGTTGGTCTACTGGGCAGGAAAAGACCACGATTTGCATAATCGCAAAGCAGTATCGTGATAAATTGTAGACGCAAACGGCAGCTCCGTGGAAGAACAGTGCGCCTGATTGCAGGTGGCAGGAGTGAATTCGAGTTTTCTCTCGAGTGCTAGGCCATCTGTTGTATTTATGGCTTCATTTTTTAGCAACCCCGGAAAACCTATGTTGTTTATTGGTTAGTTTTTTAATCCGTTTATTTGTTATTTGAGACGGTTTCCACTGTCAAACTTGTGTCTTCGCTCCAAGAAATGTAATAAATAACGAACGTTTGAGCATGATTTCATGTAATTTTTGATAATAAGAATTCTGGAGTCGCGACCTTCGACCCACTGGTTCACTTCACAACATTCTTTGATTCTTCGATCAGTTTATTGACTTCGGCTTTTATGCAAAAATTAGAATAATCTGCCAATAGTAGCGAGGAGACGAATCCCAGGAAATAGTCTCGAAGAAGGAGACACGACGCCGGGAAAGAGTATCATTAGCCTGACGTTTCGGATTCCTACTCGGATCCATCATCAGAGACAAAGAATCCGAAACGGGTGGTTGCTGCACAAGGGGTTGCGATATTTATAGGATGCAGTAGCCATGCTACCACGTAGCTATGAACATTCACGACCCCCCCCCCTCATCCAGGATCGTCGCACTTGGTGTGATCATTGCTTGATGGCCGACATTCGAGTCGATAATTGCTGCAATTTCATTAAGTGCGTTGGATGTTGGCGTAATGATTGCTCAACAATCTGACGCACCGACCCCGGCGTTGGGAAAAGTGTTCACCTCTGCGCTCCCCGCATGGCTTGTTACCCCGCCTAGGCGAAGATATAGCAGGGAGTATGGAGTGGGAAGATCGTTGGATTTGTTGATGGAATAGGGGCCAGAAGGGGGGACACGTGAATGTTCATAGGTATGCGGTAGCATGGCTACTGCATCCTATAAATACCGCAGCCCCTTGTGCAGCAACCACCAGTTTCTGCTTCTTTGTCTCTGATGATGGATTCGAGGAGGAATCCGAAACGTCAGACTAATAAAGCTCTTGTCCCGGCGATCGTGTCTCCTTATTCAAGACTTCTTCCTGGGACTCGTCTCTTCGCTTCTACTTTGTCAACCGGTGCATACGCAAAAGGGACGAAAGGCCTAACCGGACGGACACCAACGTTTGGCGAGCGCTTCCATATGTCAAGAACGTTTCGGAAGCTGTCGGCCGCCTTCTGGCACCACTTGGGGTTGGAGTGACACACAGACCGGAGGCAACCATCAGGCGTCTGATCATGAAACCGAAAGACCCACTGCCACGGCTAGAAACGTCTGGAGTCCTTTATCGAATCTGGTGCAGTTGCGGACAAAGCAACTACGTCGGAGAAACCGGGAAGACAGCTCCGAACGAGAATGGCCGAACACGCGGCAGCGGTGCGCAGAAATGACGCCAGCTCTCAAGTTGCGGCTCATTCGACGAGATCCGGCCACACATTCAAATTCGATGAGGTCGAAATTCTCGCAAGAGGTGACAACAGCGTGAGCCGGGAGCTACTGGAATCATGGTTTACTGGCCCCCAGTCTATTAACAAGTGCAATGATCTTCCCATTCAATTAATCGTGCTGACACTTCGTCAAGGCGGAGTAATTGGCCACACGGGGAGCGCACGCGTGAACACTCTTCCCAACACCGGGGTCAGCGGGTCAGATGGTCGAGCAATCATCACACCAACATCCAACGCACGTGATGAAATTGCAGCAATTAAGGACGCGAATAACGGCCATCACGCCACGAGCGACGATCCCGAATGAGATGAAGGAGCCGTGAATATTCATAGGTATGCGGTAGCATGGCTACTGCATCCTATAAATTCTGCAGCCGCATTTGCATGGACCACCCTTATCTGCTTATGTCTCTAATGATGGATTCGAGCAGGAATCCGAAACTTCAGGCTAATAAAGCTCTTGTCCCGGCGATCGTGCCTTCTTCTTTATGTTCTTGGAATGTCAACACCTGATCCCGTTCGATGACGACGAAGGTGTCATGCAACATACCGGGCCCAGAATTTCGGTCTGTGGTGTTGGAATACCAGCGACTCTACCCGTTGCAGGACCGCCTCGGCAATGAATCCCGAAATCGGCGAACCCATTGGTGTGCCCTTCACCTGTTCGTAGATTGTCCCGTCGAACGTGAAGTACGTCCTGAGACAGAGCTTCAGGAGCTGAAGGATTTGGGCGTGTCCAAGACGGTTCTCCGTTTTATCGTATTTGCTTTGTAGTAGCAGCTCAATTGTCTCGATCGCCAGTTCCTGGGTAATAGAAGTAAAAAGGGATGTAACATCCAAAGATTCCATGACCTCATTTAGATGGAGGCTTACCCCTTCGAGTTTCTCCAGGAATTGTGCTGACGAAGAGACCGTGGTGTCTGACTCAGCGGTCAGGAACTTGAGACGCCGGAACAGCCACTTAGCCAGTCCGTACGTTGGAGTCCCTTTGAGCGACACGATGGGTTGGAGAGGAGCGCCGTCTTTGTGCACCTTAGGGAGGCCATAGAATCGGGCCAAAGCCGTATCTTGGGGGTCTCGCCATGCGTCTGTCGGTCGGTGTTATTGCACCTGAGTCCTCCAAGGCCAACACCGTAGCATTGATTTCGCGTGTCAGCGTTTTTACAGGGTTCGTTGCACATAGGACATAGAACTGTCGGTCCTCCAGTAAACCTTTGGCTTTTTGAAGGTAGTCTGTCCTGTCCAGCACAACTGTGGAGCGCCCCTTGTCCGGTGGCACGATGATCAAGTCTTTGTCGGCCTTGAGTTCTCTAAGCGCATCACGTTCGACCTTGGAAAGCACTTCCCGCGGCCTGTGGGCCATCAGGAGAGACGACACTTGGTGTCGGATGAGGCTCTTAGTCTCCTCCGTTGCCTCCGTCTGACAAAGGATTGATTCCATTGCTGCAATCATGTTAACAGGTTTGGCGTCAGCCGTGTTAAATGAAGCTTCGTGCCGTAAAACCTGCATCTGATCCTTCGTCAGCTCCGTTGACGACAGGTTGTGCACCCGTTTGTCGTTTCTGGACGACGTTGGATTGGGCAGCTTTCGAAATTTGTTCTCCAGTGCTGCGTCGCGTATCATGTTCTGTTTGTGGGCTTGTTCAGCTATCCTCCGCAGGAGCAGATTCGTACCGATCTCACCCATGAACTCACAGCATCTGGTCTTTACTTGGTCAATCCTTTGACGGTACTTACGAAGTCTCGCGTGGCAAACTTGGAGGAGCACTCGGATCATCCTTCTTCCATGTTGAAATACTGCTCGTCTCTCCAAATCTGTGTTAACCGGAGGCTTGTATGAAAAACATTTCGGCAACACATTATTGTCGAGACACCTGTGCAGAAACCGGATCTGCGAATACGTAGAGGTCTCCCGAAGGGCGAAGGTTTCCCATCGCCAGGCCGATCGGAGTGCATCGCGCCCAAATGCATTGACAATAGAAGCGAAGAGACGAGTCCCAGGAAGTAGTCTTGAATAAGGAGACACGACGCCGGGACAAGACTTTTATTAGTCTGACGTTTCGGATTCCTACTCGAATCCATCATCAGAGACAAAGAAGCAGAAACGGGTGGTTGCTGCACAAGGGGCTGCGGTATTTATGGGATGCAGTAGCCATGCTACCGCATACCTATGAACATTCACTGCTCCGTGCCTTCCATCAGGGATCGTTGCACGTGGCGTGATGGCCGTTATTCGCGTCCTTAATTGCTGCAATTTCATCACGTGCGTTGGATGTTGGTGTGATGATTGCACGACCATCTGACCCGCTGACCCCGGTGTTGGGAAGAGTGTTCACGCGTGCGCTCCCCGCGTGGCCAATTACTCTGCCTAGACGAAGTGTCAGCACGATTACTTGAATGGGAAGATCATTGCACTTGTTAATAGACTGGGGGCCAGTAAACCATGATTCCAGTAGCTCCCGGCTCACGCTGTTGTCACCTCTTGCGAGAATTTCGGCCATGTCAAATTTGATGGTCGAGAAATCATCACACCAACATCCAACGCACGTGATGAAATTGAAGCAATTAAGGACGCGAATAACGGCCATCAGGCCACGTGCAACGATCCCTGATGGAAGGCACGGAGCAGTGAATGTTCATAGGTATGCGGTAGCATGGCTACTGCATCCTATAGATGCTGCAGCCGCATGTGAATGGACCACCCTTATATGCTTATGTCTCTGATGATGGATTCGAGGAGGAATCCGAAACGTCAGACTAATAAAGCTCTTGTCCCGGCGATCGTATCTTCTTCTTCAAGACTGCTTCCTGGGACACGTCTCTTCCCTTCTATTCCAAGAACATCTCAACGCCGTCTTCCCGGACATTCAATTAACGATGGAGGAGGAAGAGAACAACCAGCTGGCCTTCCTGGATGTCCTCGTAGGCCGCAAATTTTGTGGTGGTTTAAAGACCAAAGTGTCCAGGAAGGCGACAAATACGATGCAAGTACTGAACTTCAACAGTAACCACCCAATCAGCCACAAACGCAGTTGTGTAAGGACGCTCTGTCGGCGTGTCGAAACGCACTGCAGTGAGCCGGAAGACAAAATTGCCGAACTACAATACCTCCGACGGGTCTTAAAAGCCAATGGCTACCCGCGCAATTTTATCAACCGGTGCATACGCAAAAGGGACGAAAGGCCTAACCGGACGGACACCAACGTTTGGCGAGCGCTTCCATATGTCAAGAACGTTTCGGAAGCTGTCGGCCGCCTTCTGGCACCACTTGGGGTTGGAGTGACACACAGACCGGAGGCAACCATCAGGCGTCTGATCATGAAACCGAAAGACCCACTGCCACGGCTAGAAACGTCTGGAGTCCTTTATCGAATCTGGTGCAGTTGCGGACAAAGCAACTACGTCGGAGAAACCGGGAAGACAGCTCCGAACGAGAATGGCCGAACACGCGGCAGCGGTGCGCAGAAATGACGCCAGCTCTCAAGTTGCGGCTCATTCGACGAGATCCGGCCACACATTCAAATTCGATGAGGTCGAAATTCTCGCAAGAGGTGACAACAGCGTGAGCCGGGAGCTACTGGAATCATGGTTTACTGGCCCCCAGTCTATTAACAAGTGCAATGATCTTCCCATTCAATTAATCGTGCTGACACTTCGTCTAGGCAGAGTAATTGGCCACGCGGGGAGCGCACGCGTGAACACTCTTCCCAACACCGGGGTCAGCGGGTCAGATGGTCGTGCAATCATCACACCAACATCCAACGCACGTGATGAAATTGCAGCAATTAAGGACGCGAATAACGGCCATCACGCCACGTGCAACGATCCCTGATGGAAGGCACGGAGCAGTGAATGTTCATAGGTATGCGGTAGCATGGCTACTGCATCCCATAAATACCGCAGCCCCTTGTGCAGCAACCACCCGTTTCTGCTTCTTTGTCTCTGATGATGGATTCGAGTAGGAATCCGAAACGTCAGACTAATAAAAGTCTTGTCCCGGCGTCGTGTCTCCTTATTCATGATTAGAATCATCTGTCTGCATTAATCTGATGGAAAAGTTCATTTGAGCTAACAGTTTTAAAATTTGACGTTTTTAGGAAGTTGAACAGTGTCAGTTTCGATTTTTCAATACTAGACCATTTTCGTTAATTTATTAAAGACCCACTATTGCTTTTGGACTTCGAAGCATGAAAACAAATTTTGATTCAGACCCGGACGTGGTGGGTTATTTTTAGCCTGAGTTAGCATATCTTATGAAACGCGAGATTTTAATTGACAGACTTCTAATCATGAGGTTTGCAATCATACGTATCCCAATTAAACTTCGCGCATATGTCGAGCTGTCGCGATTCTTTATTTTTTCCCTTTTTAGGTAAGGTAATTATGTGGATAAAGCGCTCCGCTCGCACGTGGGGCTGAAACCATAAATCAAAAGGAGAATATGCCCCCTCAATGTACGTAGGAAGATTGCCAGTCTTCACAAAATCCAAACTGGCTTCTCGTTATAACATTATTGGATTACAAATTCGCTCACTACCTGGGGGCATGAAACTAAAAATGAATGTAGAGCTAAAACTAAGTATGCTATGGGAAGCTGAGCATCTGAGTGGAGATTTTAAGCATTTCTACCCACCCCCCCCCCCAGGGGTAAAGTACGATGTGACTAGTGTCTAAACATCCAACAATCCCCCTTATAGCGTGACTTTTGTCCCTTCTGGATTTTGGTCTTTAGCGAGCCGTTTGTACCGTTAGCCTGAGATTCGGGTGAAATTAAGTCATTTTGAGATTTTCAATGTTTTTAAATGAATAGCATGGGGATCACCTCGCAAAATTCAAGAGACACGAAGTCTGCAGACATACTAAAGAACCAGCAACCCTAACCGTATGGTTTGATTTGTACTTTGTTGTCAGCAGTGCATGCAGGCCGATCCTTTTTTGCTTCGGCGGCAACCGATATTCCGGGAAAATACTGGCAGAGTGTGTTTCATACAATGAAAGTTTCAGTGATTTTAAGATCGAGCAGGTCCAGAAATCGTAAGATTATCGATCAAGAAGGGGTATTAATGCATTTATACCTTACTCTGGACGACGAACACTTGTTTCATCTACAGACGCTTAAATTCAAAGGAGTGACTGTGTGGGTTACTGCCAGTAGCTAGTCTTAGTCTGAGATTTTTCATTTGCTTGCCGGCCAATAAGTTTTGTAAATATGTAAACACCAGCACATTTTTGCAAACTACAGCTTCCTTTGCGTTCAGTTAAGACTAACAAAAAAATCAAATTTCTGACTTATGAGTATCTTTTTGTCTTTTGTTCTCATTGCCGCTACAGACTCTGTGTGGAACATTAGATTCAATCTACGGCCCATTATATTAACTAATTCTAACAAACGAACAATTGTTATTCCTGGTCGAACATCAAAGGCGTCTTTTCAAATTTATTAGTTTATTGCTAATCTTGTCCATCAGCGACAAAGTTTAACACGACCTACTGTAATGGTCGAGCCACTCAAGGGTATGGTCTTGTCCTCTTCTCCTTCTAGGCGACAGTCCGTACCGGCTTCCTTGGTGCTCTTATCCGAACGAGTGCCTCCTCGGCGGGAACCCTGGGAATTAGAGTGAATTGAGTCCATCGTCTGCATCGGCAAGCGTGAACGGATAGAATAGGTCGACGGTGGAAAAAGTTTATTAAAAGAGATATATCAGCAGAGGAAAATTAATCCCGTTCCGTGTTCTCGTCGTCTTCCTCTTTACGGGCGGTCTCTCGACGGCCCCCTCACGCTCTTCGACGGCGGTCACTAAAACAAAACACGTTCAGAACTCCAGTCAGTCAAAATGTACAGGAAGATCATAGCAAGGACACATTAAAACAACAGGGTCAGTACGTCCTCTACACCACAGTAGATGTGCTAACTCATGAAAAGTTAACCGAAATTATGAAATGCGTTTTCGACCCCAAAAGGCTACTCAGGTAGTGTTGTAACACTAATCACCTCAGCAACCTCCGAATGCCAGCTTCTGAACGAATTTCTTTGCGGCCGCCTTCAAAAACTATACTCTATAAGAAATGACTACTTAAATAGTATGAATTCTCCTACTGATTTCGATGCCTCTGTAAATTCAAATATATTTCATAAAAAGCATGCACGAAATTATTTACGGTTTTACTCTTTTGATAGAAATGCACGCATTCATTGGATTTTATATTTGAAGGAAGTGTATGAGTCGACCGAAAAAAACTTTTCGAATCCCCGAATAATTTTCAACCCGCTCTGCCGTTACATTTGCATCCCGAATTTTCAAACTACAAGCTGTATATTTTCCGTGTGCTGAAAATATACATTTCTATACGCTATAAAGAGGAGACCATACGCAGTTAATAAAATTTAGCAGTGGATTTGAGCCATATTGTAAACTATACAAG